AGCTGGAAAAATTGCCGCCATCTGTGAGCGACGCCGGCAACCAGACTGGTTCTCTAGTTGCCGCTGTCGCTCATAGATGGCGGTAGCGGTCCAGCGTTTTGTGTAGTCTTGTGTCGACATTGGTTTGGTACCGGACACGAAACCGGGGAAAACTAGCCCTTAGCAGCTCCGCTGTAAAAATAAATTGCCCCGTGACTCTAATCGCTTTAGCACAAACACCGCGCAAGAGACAAAAAAAAAACACAAAAAAAACAGAAAGGCAGACGGAAGACGTTGCTGCGCAGCGGCGTCTGAACTAAACAGAAACTAGACAGACACTCCTCTGACTGCTTACGTCTAGGAATGCAAAAGCATTCCTACACGCCGCGCATTCCTAGAAGCAGCGCCACGTCTTCCTTTCGCACACGGTGCTCCGGCGTCCCCCGCTCCCTCTGCGCCACTAGCACTTCGGCTGGCCCCTTAGCAACAATGCCGCCGTTGCTATGGAGCCCTATGCGCTACGGCGGTGACATCACACTCCTCCATTGCGCAGACGCGGCAAACTCCCCGTCTCCACGGCTTCCGCGACGATGCATCTGATGTGACGCGTTGCAGCAAATGAGAAACCGGGTGCCGTTTCGCTGCTAGAGACGGTTACAGACCACGCAGGCTTCGCTGCATGGGACAGTTATGGCTTTCGCATTAAAGGAGCGATGCAACAATTTTTGTACTGTGCACAAATACCGCTTAAATCGGATCCCTAACGTTAATGACCTATGAAACACGCGTTCGTTTTTCACCCCACGCAATAGAAGTCCCAGAAAAAAATTTAAGAAAAACGAGCAGCGTTCACCCCCTCAACTCGCAGCCAGAACAAGCGGCCACGTGATCTGGAGCCGATTATATGCCGCCAGTGTTGATCATAGCCACGCGCAGGGGTTGGCAAAGCGCAGGACACGCGCTGAGTTCCAGACATTGTTATGGCTCGGCTGTTGTCGTCGTTGCAGCGATTGGACACGGGTCACAACCCGAATGCTTCTCGAGCTAGCAATTGTCACGAGCCCAAGTCGAGTGCCCACGCAATGCTCGGGTCCAATCTGTGAACCGCATTCAAATATCGTCACTTGGGTGTACTGCGATCCCCGAGTTACGTCATCAAATTTTGCAAAGGAGAGATTGAATGAAAATGATCGCTTTTGTCCTTGAAATTACACCACAACAAAGGAGTTTCTTGGACAATGGTGTTGCGTGTGAGTATCCTTGAGTCCGAGGTGTGCCAGTAAGCTAGTGTAGAGAGAAAAACATTCCAATTGAATATCGTTGCACAGCTCCTTTAACGTCGACGACTCAGTAGACGACGAAGCTATTTTATTGTAGTCTGGCACCTGAGTGAGACTTGGCTACGAATACAGTTTAATAATTAGAAGCATTTAAAACAAATCTTGCCCCAACCAGAAAAGAGAAAGAAGGAAGGTTTATTTAGGCTCTATTTAGTATCGCTGAACTGAATGAACAACACAAAAAATTGTACGAATCTTTTTGTACAAAAAAGCGACGAGGCAGGCTGACGACGGCACATTACAAGCGTTTATGCCTAGCTCAATACTTGTTTTATTATAATTCCAATAAAGCTGCAAAAAGAACATCCTTAGTAATTGTAGAACATCATGCAGAAAAAGGGAGAACAAGTTCGAAGTTACAATAGAAAAATGACGCTACCAGAAACTATTTGAGTCAAGGTATGCAGACACCTTAACACCGACGCCAAAGTGAAGAAAAAAAACGGTGATGAATACACCGTATTCTTTCCACTTTGACGTTGGTGTTAAACGATATGATAAAAAGTGAAAACCGTTTACAACTACCTGTAACGCCGAATTGGAGCGCAGCTCTTGAGGAGGAGGAGGGAAGGGTACTGAGGGGAGGGTAGACCCCTCCTTGTCCTCCTCCTCTTCCTCCTTCTCCTCCTCCTCCTCCCCTCATTCTTTAATATCCTCCAGGGGGGTCACCTGACCTGGGGGAGGGGGTCACGTGACCTCGGGGGGAGGGGGGTCACGCGACCTCGGGGAGGGGGGCCACGTGACCTCGGGGGGTCACGTGACCTTGGGGGGTCACGTGACCTTCGGGGGTTACAAGGAGGTCACCTTGGGGGGTCACGTGACCTTGGGAGGGGTCACGTGACCTGGGGGGGTCACGTGACCTTGGGGTGACCTTGGGGTGACCTTTGTTTACGCCGACGGCGACGCCGACGCCGCTCAAGCCGGAAACGGGCGCCTAAGAGCTGCGCTCTAAAATAGACACCACATAGCCTGTTTCATCAGACTGCACGTCGAAACCCCCCAGCAGGAAAGCTTTGCAGATACACGCGGTGGCGTGGCATTTCTGAGCGAGGCCTGGTTGAAGACGTGGGTATCTTATGATGACATAAAGTATCGGCCAAGGAAGGCGCACAAGTGACGACCGGAACCAGCCAAAAAGAAAGGGCACAGTAGGCCTGCTCCGTTGTTTTTCCATCCGCTTTGCTGAAACAGCCTGTCTTTTTATTGACCTCGAGGATAACCTATGCCACGGGATCGAAAATAAATACACTAAACGACTTAAATTTCGGGAGGGCCTAATTTTCGCGAATTTCGCGAATCCCTTGAATTCGCGAAAAATAGGTCCTGTGAATAAATGCGGTAAAATGTAAACACATCGGAATTTGTATTGAGATCCCATCACATCGCGAAAATTAGAGCCCGCTAATTATTCCAAAACTTCATCTTTGACCTAAATTGCGAAATATTGAGCCCGCAAAAAATAAGTCGTTTGCAGATTAAATAATTCGAATGGTTGCCACACGTGATACAAAAGGTTAAAATATGTTGCATATTTGAACCTTTTGTATCACGTGTGGCAACCATTCGAATTAATTAATCTGCAAACGACTTACTTATTACTCACCGGAGAATAGCTATTACGGAAACGCCTCCAAAACAGGAATGCAGGTGATGGGCGGCGGAGAAAAGCTCACTGGAGTACAGCTCACCGGAGAATAGCTCACCGGAGAAAAGCGCACTGCAAAACCGGCAGATACGGAGAAAAGCTCGCCGGCATTTGAGCGGATGCGGAAAAAAGTTTACCGATTTTTTTATTTATTTCTTAGCTCAGAGAAGTGTGCGCCACACGTGGCAATTTAACACAATTAGAAGTCGTAACTTTATTGAAAAACATTGTCCTCTTTTTGTAATATTCTTGAAGTTCATTGGGCATATTTACTAATTCTTCAGAAATTACTAATCACCCGTTTTGTGTTTAATGACGCCGCAAGTATAAAATCAGAACATCGGACACCCGTAAAAAATACAACTCATTGACAGCTTGTCAGTGCGCCGTCGGTAACTCTGTCAGATAAAGGGGTTTGTTTTTTGCGAGCTAATATGAAGAGCGGTGCGTGAAGCATTTTCATATTAGCTTTTTAGAGCGCAACATTTAGGCGCCCGTTGCCGGCTTGAGCGGCGTCGGGGTCGACGCCGGAGTCGCCGTTGCCGTGGGTGTAACCACGGGGTGCATTATGGGACGTTTCCCATAATGCACTGAGCGGACGTTTCCATAGTGCACTGAGCGGAGAGAACCGTGCCGAAACGTCACCGTGACGTTTCGGTGGAAGTCACGTGCCGAAACGTTACGTCACTTCACGGGCAACGATCCGAAACGTCGCGTGACGATGCACGTTTTGCGCTTGTAAGAAGCAGGAGGAGAGGAGGAGAAAGTACGGATGAGGAAAAGAGGAATACCCTTCTTTCAGTACCCTCCCCTCTTCCTCCTCAAGAGCTGCGCTCTAAATCGGCGTTACAGTATTTTGTAAGCATCTTTAATTTTTTTTCACTAATAAACTTTAGTTGCTAGAGCAGCTTCGTCCAGACTGTTTGTTGCTTCACTCCGTCTTCGTCGTTTGAGCGGTTTTCATCTTGATAACGTTTACCTACTTGCCCGATTCGCTACCTTACGGAAGAGTAGTTATTATAGTATAGGTCCCGAGTATCAACGCTGATGTATACAGCTGTAAAGGTTATGGGTGGCTCGCCGTAGAAGGGCACTATTAAAGAAAGGCAACATGTGAAAACACTAGCACAAACGGCTTGAAAACCTGCATGTCCCTGTAGGAAAGGAACTTTGATATACTACTGATTGTTCTATACTGTTTTCAAAGGTTAACGAAAGCTTCAAGGTGAATTTCAGGCACCGCGTTGTGGCGCATGCTCTTTCGGATTTTCGGCATTAACAGTTTTGCTTTTCCTGTTTTATGCAGGCATTATTAAGTTTTCGGACTTTTTCCGGTTCTTCAAGTTTATTAAGATTTCACTTGGTCTTTCGTTGCCTAGAGAGTAAGCCACAGAAAACACTCGCCCGCAATTATTAATTTAGGAGCAATATACCCAATAAGCTTAATATTACAAAAAAGGTAATATTATTTTTTTACTCAACTCGCAAATATTAATGATAATAACTCGACATATGTTACTTAAAGCCCAACAGCCCCCGTATGAAAAGAAAAAAAAAATATACTGGTAGGCTTTTTTCTGCATACGCTGAATAACCGGTGAGCTTTTCTGCGCACTCGCCGATTTCGCGGTGAGCTTTTCTCCGGTAAGCTTTTCTCCGGGATTCGCAGGTGATAGGCCTGGCCCAACCCAACCTAAATATAACCCAAACTCAGCTAGCCTAATCTAATCCAACATAACCTAGCCTAGCCGTATCTTACACAAATTATAACATTTTGCAGGCCGCCATTTATCTATACCGTCGAATTTACGCATTTGAAATGTGCTGAAAAAAAATCTCTGCTAACTCTCTCACATGCACGTGAAGGCAAAGTTAATAGAGGCAGAGCCTACAGTTGTGGCTGGGCCTCTGAACCTTTTCTTAAATTAAAACCAGCCTTGACAGGCAGGCGTCTTCACGACCCCTGTCATATAAGGGTCGACCCGGTAGAGGGGTATAATCAAAGAAAGTCCAGTTAAAGCCGCGAAGTTACTCACCTTAGATAGCACCCTCCTGCACTCAGCCAGAGCTTTCCGCGCTTCGGTCACAGAGCAAAGCACGTAGGTGATCAGCACAACGTCGAAATAACTTTCGGGAACCCCTCGCATGTCCTCGGCATACTCCTGAACCCAGCGTTCCATTTCTACGTTCGGGTTGTTTTCCAGGTTCTTCCGGAATGCGCCACCGAACTCTGCGTTGGGGTCTAGGTTCCAGTACTTCACCTTCCGCTGAATGTGCTCAAAGTTGGCACCGAAGCCGGCGCCGATTTCCAGGACCCTGATGGCGCCCTCCTTCTTCAGTGTGCCATCGTGGGACACCAGGTCATTCAGCTGGGACACGGCTTGCCGACGAACCGCAGTAAATCGGTCTCCCCAAAAGTACATCGCCAGGGGGTAGACTACGCGCGCGAAAAACCCTTCGTGCAGCTTTTTACTCATCCTAAACGGCAACAACAGGGAGACACCGAGGGTCATGGTCCCGTAAGCATAACAAGAAAATAGGATGTCGTCAAGCCTGGCCATCGTGGGAGTTCGTCGACCCGGGCTCCTTGCTAAAAGACTTCCTTTACGGTAGCTCCCCGTCAAGAAAATAATGACGAACAGTCTTTCGCGGTTTCAGCACTCGTGCGTGGCGTCTGCACTTATCTTCGATACACAAAAAGATAACAATTTCGACAAACAAAAAAAAAAAAGGCGACGAAAGGATGCCCACCAAATCTTGAAGAGAATGTAAAGAAAAGTGGGATTATCGCCAAGTATCTCTTTCTCTCTTTCTCGTTGTCTCTTTCTCTCTCGTTTTCTTTTGATATGGAATCCTGCTTAGCAGTTGGGACCTCCCTCTTTTTACCTGCGCTTGTGAGAGTGAGACATAGGCTTTCTGTGGGTATCTATAGAAATCGATAGTGCCTAAGAACTTGTTCCTAAATTTTCTAATTCGACATAGCATTGCATTCAAGAAAGAGAACCACTTAGGCACACTTATTTAGGCAGCAGATGTTTGTTCGAGTTGCACTATTGATATTTAAGATTTAAAGTACTTTTCAAACAAGATCGGTCTGCACAACTTAATATTAACTGCGCGTGGAGACTTTCCAACATACATATCAAAGATCGACACGTGTTCGGGCCAAACTTGCCGCAGCTGGGAGCGACGTTATGTCGTAATTTATAACAAAGAAATCGAGTTTGCGGTGTCCTTTCGTGCTAACCAGGATATGCTCCCGAACTGCTACAGAGCTTGGCTCCTTATGAACAGAAGTCAGTCCCTCCGCTGGCGCTCGTAGTGTTCATAGATGTGTTTAAATAGACAAAAATAGGAAATGACTCAGGCACAGTGCGAAGAACGATAACATGATTGTCAATTGTGAAGTACATAAAAATAGAAACCACATAGTTCCACCGGTTCTCCTCTTATAGTAATCAATATAAAATTTTGTGATATGATGACAAATTATAATATCCCGCCAGTGCATGCGTACTTATGCCCAAACTTTTGGGATAAAATAATAATGCATGAACTCAGAAATAACTTAATAGAGGGATGGCATGCTACATAGGCTTGTTTTTAACTACATTCATAAGTGTGATCTTAACACGCAAAAAACGCACTGCGCCCCGCACAAATATAATACATTACCATTTTCTTTATTTTGTGCGGTTTGTATCAATTGTTTTCCCGCGTTTCTAATAAGACTTTATTTTGGGTATGTTGAGTAATATTGGCCCCCATCCAAGACATTCAGCTCGTAGATAATCTAGAAAATAAAACGGTCCTACTCTACAAAATGGTTTTCTGAAATTGTGACTCAGACGAGATGCTCTTCCGTGCATTGACATCTGCGTATAATCATGACAAGCGTTTGCTATCTTCCAGACTCCCCGTCTCCTAGACTATAGGAAGCACTTCCGCACTTGCAAACACTTATCGTCTAGGATCACTTATCGGCAACCCTCTACAGTGGCGGGCCGAGTCGTCAGAAAGGCGACACCGAGGGTGCCGGACGGAAAGTCGCGAAGGTTGAGAAAGCGAAAACGTTCTTTATCCAAGTTGGGGAATGCCGGCAGTGCTAATTTTAAGTGCTTCTTGTTGCTCTCTGACCCTAGCTGATGTCAATACTCTAGCGCGGTCCCTGAGTCTTTGTTTTGTGTCACGAAGCGGCCGGAGGAGTGAGGGAGGGTCGGTAGGTTTGCCTTTTTTTTTTCTCCGGCGTCGTGCCGGGTGCCGCATGAAGCTCCGTCACGGGCCGTATACAATCCGCGGGCTTGGGTTGCTGACTTCTGGTCTCTCCTAGACGATAACATTTTTTTATATAAATATACAGGATAATTCCTTCTAAAGGGACCAGAATTTAAAAAAAGACAAACTTGGGGTATTGCTATTTCTTAGACAAAGTTGGGGCCATAAGGACACAAGAAAGAAGAAATATTGGTTAATTATACAGCTAACAAAGAGAAACATCGAATAAACTTCTACATTTTGATTTTTTGAGGCATACTGCATTTGGGGATCGAATGGACATTAGACATACTTCAGAAGAGGCAAGCAGCGCTAAAAAAAGAAAACAACGGACCGGATGAAAGCAGACACAAACAGAGCGCAGACTCGCAACTACATTTATTGAACGCGAGGGTGCAATATATACAAGCACAGTCGAGAGGAAAAACCAACAGAATCAGCCTAAAACACTGAACAAAACAGCCACTTCCAGCCCTGACAAGCTTTCAAGATTGTGTAGACCCGTTAATCCCTCTGATAGAAAGGCGAGGGCTTGCTCTACGAAGCATCGTAATCGTTACGTCACCTTTGCTAAGGGAGTCGTTTCTTCCCTCTATTTGTCTTCCGTTAGGCGTTATGTTGGCCAGACGGGTCGCTGTCTTAATGACAGGCTAAATCGCGTTCCAAACCAAGGCACTTTTGTGCGCACGTAGGTCTTGCGGGTCCCGGAAGTTGCGTGTTTCGTGACGTCGCGCCGAGTTCTTGCGTCTTCCGGGCGCGCATAAGAAAGTTGGATGATGTTAACTTCCTCTGAACGCGCACGAAAACTCGCTGTGACGTAGTAGGCGCTCTTGTCTCCCGGCCAATCGGGGGAGGGCACTAGTTTCGGCTCCGTATTTTTTTGCCGTCTGGCGCAGCAGATGCTCCTTGCTTGCCTGCGAGTATGGCTGCGTCTATGAGCTTCCCCCCTGTTTCCGACGCGAGGAAGGCGACCGAAAAGAAGGCTGCCGCGGACGCGCAGAGGCAAGTAAAAGCTGCGCAGAAGGCCGCAGAAGCTGCCGTCTTTGATGACCAAAGCAAGTGCTTTCAGTTGACCGAGCTCGTCCAGAACTACCCTCGGCTGTACGGGAAGCTTCGGCGCGACCATAAAGACCACTCGAAACGGGAGAACACCTAGAAGGAGATAGCCCGCCTGTTCGGCTTTGCGCACTTTAAGTATGGTTTTGCATCCCGTAACATCGTGTTTCAGCATCTAGTGCTCTGCGTGTGTTTTTCTTGATACGCGAATCTTGTTTTCGCAGCTTATGACCACATGGACAAAATATATGTCAATCCCTTATACGTATCATGGTATTGTAATTTATCCTGAGGATGGAGGCAGGTGTTAAATTGTATCGGTAACAATATTGCGAAAAAAATTAATTAATAAATCAACAGATGAATACGGTAGTATTTGTAGTGACAGCGATGTTTTTTCCACGTCTTTGCGTTGTTTTGACAGTTGTTTCAAACAAAAATTTGAAGGAAGGTAATCCCTGCGTGGCCTTTATTCCTTTTTATGTTCAGCCCACGAGAGAGTTTTGTGTCGGTTGTATGGAAAGGGCTGAAATCCATTTGTGTCTGCAGACAACCAATCATACTTAATTATTACTTCTGATTGAGTCAAGCATTTTTTCAAATAGTTCACGAAACTAAACAAAAAACAAATTACAGTACCATACCACCCGAAACAAACTTTTACGATTCCTGTTTTATAGATTTATTCCGATTGGCCCACAAAGTATACATAGCATCTTACACATCCCAGATGTTAGCCATATCGGTATTAATTGTGTGTACTTAATTCACTGCTAAGTTGATGGGTAGTGAAAGTTATGTACTCACTATCACTTGACAAGTCAGTCACCTGCCCCTCGGTGCCTGATCGATTTTATGCCCGTGACTACTCGGAGAGTGTAACCATGTTGTACGCATGCGACCTATTGTTATTGTTGATTGTCCCTACGAGCATGTAGCTTCTGCCGCCCTGTCAGCCTAGCAGTGAACATGCTATTGTCGGTTGCTTGAGAGTTTGGCCATTCATGTTTTAATGTGGGACTAAAATTGTTGTGCAAGTGCTTTGGGTGTGCGTTTTGTGTGTGCTTTACGTTGCCCACGAAGCATTACAATTGCCTATGGCGTTCTGTCGTCTTTATCACATATCCGCATGAGTATATCATGTCTGTCACGCGTGTCCCCCACTAGAATCAACAGATTTTTCTCCAGACAACATCTGGAAGACAAAGTAGAAGCACGTGAGGGACAAGTACGCCAAGGAGGCGGCCAAGATGGCAGGAACAAAGCGCAGCGGCTGTGGAACCTCGGATGTCTACAAGCCAAACTGAATCGACTTTGACAGCTTGCGCTTTCTGACTGGCACCTACATTGTTTCGTCACGATATACTTTTCATATATCTTATAAGTTATCGCATCTCCGATCTTCATGCAGTTTACTTCGTATGCAACTACATGGTACGTTTTGTCAATTTTGCAGGTCTGAGACTACAGGAACATCAGAAAGCCAGTCCAGCACTCAAACTGGGGTAAAATAGCATGCAATGTATTTCGATGTCTCCTCGTCATTTTGTTTGTGGGCTTATAATCACTATTCCAGGTGTCCTTCACAAGTGCTGTCATTTGCGATGAAACTTGAACTCTTCTGTAAAATTCTACCAGTGACTCCATTATGCAGCCAGGCACCCAAATGCAGCACAGGTACAACCAAGCCAACTGATGACCAAGTTATTGTTGTTAATATTTGCCCGTCTCCACTTTCTTTTTTGGTCTTTCAGACTGATGACCATGGGTTGCAGCTTAAAAAAGCTACTTCGTTTTGTTCTTTTGTGTGTTCCTCTATACCAGTGGTCCTCAACCATCTCGGCGGAGATGATGGAGGACCCCGCTCGTTATGAGGGAAAGGAAAATGTATAGAGCAAGTACGATAATTATTTAATAAATGAATAGAACTAAGGGCTAGCGTAAAATAAACTTCTCTAATTGACATACACACGAGAAAACTCACCAGATAATTGGAACATTTCTTCTCTATCTGAAAAATGACAACTTTTATTGCCGGATTTGGTGGTTAAGCAGAGCTTCACAGACCTTTAGAATGCCTTCGCGCACCCCAAAGGGTCCGCGGACCCCCATTTGAGAACCACTGCTCTATACAGTGCTTTCACCACGTGGCACTCTCTTTGGCTCTACAGCTGCCTCGTTTCATAATGCCAACAGCACCACCTTCTCTCCCCCCCCCCCCACCCCCCAATCGCGGCTTTTTTGGATGACCCTTATCTCTCAAATACTGAGCGCACTGGCTAACCACCCAGATGAGGGGTCGCCCCCTGGCACA